TCATGACACTTAACATATGTCTTTTCATGTTTTTCTTAGGATGTTGATGGCTCCAAACAAGAATAAATGCCCAAGAACACTCAGCTTTATCTACCACACTGGCTGTTCTTACTTTAAAAGATAAAAAAGGGGAGTTGTCAGAACAGGGTCAGAAGAATGATACTTGGTGAGCAATGCCTTGAGGAACTGTGAGAAGCTCAAGTACATATTGTTCCCTGGATTGTTTTTGGAGATGATTTTGTGTCTTCTGTGACAAATATTTGCATTCTTCTATTTATAAGATATGCTTATTATTGTTGAATGTGTATTGGTGTCTTGCCATGGGTGTCCAGTCCCTTTGAACTGAAGTTACAGACAGTGGTTTTGTTTTACTTATGTGTTTGTTTGTTTGTTTGTTTGTTTTTAGTTTTTCAAGACAGGGTTTCTCTGTAGCTTTGGAGCCTGTCCTGGAAATTGCTCTGCAGACAAAACTGACCTTGAACTCCCAGAGATCTCCTGTCTGCCTCCCAAGTGCTGGGGAATAAAGGCATGTGCCATCACCACCAGGCCTTTTGTTTTGCTTTATTTATGTATTTATTTGCTTGTTTGTTTGATTTTATTTGTTACGGACAGTTGTAAGCTTTCATGTGGGTGCTAGGAATTGAACCTGGGTCCTCTGAAAGAGCAGCCAGTGCTCTTAACCACTGAGCTATCTCTCCAGTCCCTTGTTGGATATTGAAACATAACTATAGAACCCAATCTGGTGAAAAGCTATGCTGACTGCTGTCCTCATTGTACCCATAATCTGTACATGGCCTTCTGTGGGGACACCAGACCTTGAGCAGAGACCCACTTCCCCATCGGCCTGGGAGTAGGCAGCTGTAAGACAATGTTTACTAAAAACATGTTTACTAAAAACAATACAATGCCTGGGGCAATAGGTTCCTGAAAAGGGCTTGCCCAAGGGAACCGCCCTGTCCTCGACCTTTTCCAAAGACTAACTGCCTCCTCAGACCCACCCATATCCCTCTGGTATCAGGGTATATAATAACCAGCCAGAGTAGGAATAAAAGAGAGCCTTCTTGAGGAGCCTTCGGGTCTCTGTATCGTCAAGTCAATCCCCACTCTCTCGCCACATTCTCGGATACAGGCTGCGCAGTGGACGCGGCAGCCTTCTACCTTGCTTTTGTGTTTTCCCAGATATAATGTATAGTACATGCCAGGTTAATTGGTTTTAGATTGGCTTGTCCTGAGAAAGTTCTGGTAAAGGGCTGCTCTGTTAATATTTAGTATATGCTTACTGGTGTCTATTTACATGTTTTTCTTATCATGTTTTTTTAATTCAAACAACCTTCCTTGGATCATTGTTTTCATTGTTACATTCATACATAAAAGTACACTGAAACGCGAGTGAGGTTGTCTACAGCATTAGACTGTAGTCCACCCCATTCTTTCAGGTCCTCCAATCCCAGACTCTCATACAGATCCGCATAGGTTTGTGAAAATCCACAGACCCTCAACCCAAAGAGATACCACCCAAAAGCCTGGAGAGATCCAGTGGCTGAGCAGGGTAGGGTTGTCAGCAGAGCTAGCTACATGTTTGGCATGAGAGGGCTCAGTACCCAACTGGTGCTCACAGGCATTAATCACAGAGGTCAGGTTGTCCTCTGCTAGACACATCATTTCCTTTCTGTGTACATAAAAACCTGGCTAGGGTCCTGGTCCTCCACCGAAGAGCTGTGTAGTTGTGGCAAAGTCACTTGACTAATATTTAGATTCTGTATCTGTGAAATGTAGGATTGGCACTCTGTAGCATAAATCCAACAGTGACTTCCTTGTATTCTTGTCATAATATTACCTTGTCTGGGACTGTTGAGTACCTCATAACTTCTGGCAGATGCAAGTGGTCAGCCCCGTCCCAATCCCTCTCACTGATCCATGCAGCCTAGAATAAACAGGGGTTGCCTGTGCCCACAACACCTGTTTATATTGGAAGTAGTAAGAAGTAAGGCTCTTATTATACTCCTGTCTTTCACACTAAGGTGTGGCAGGATAGAGAGTGGGCCAAGTCTTTTTCACCTCACCTGCTCTAAAGGAGAAGGTAAAGAGAGAATTAGGCTTGCTTTAATCCCCCTCTGAGCAGAGTATATGTTCTCAAAGTTGCTTCTTCCCCCCACCCTTGCCTACTTCAGTTGTGGCCACTCCGAAGACTTCTTACTGTTGGTCTTAGAGTCTTCATTTGATTCTAAGAACCTTATTGCCCTGGCCAGCAGGGCATAGCGGGGATCGAACCCATGGGAACCTGGAATGAAAGGGACAAGAGACATGAGAGACAGACGACGGCAAAACAGGCTTTCTGATCAAGCAGCAGAATTTTATTTTCTCACAAGGGTTCTTATAGTGGTTGAAGCAGGAAGCTTGGTCTTGGCAGGATATTTTCCAAGGACACAAGTCTGCGGCTGGGGGAGTCTGGACTGCAGGCCAGGTGGCAGGGGGTGGGAGAGCCTGGACTACAGGCCTTGAAAGTATGCTGTACAGGAAGATAATCAGGCACAGAGACATAGAAGCTTAACTAAGTGTTAGTCACTAAGAATACAGTAGGAATACTAAAATGGATTTTATTATGCTATCCTTATTTAGATTCCTCCACAGCTGGCAATATTTACAAGAGGTCCTATATACCGATCGTACTTATCCCAAGGAATCCTTCCCTCCACCTCAACTTACTGTCAGATTTCACAGAAAACATTTCTGTTAAGAGTCTTCAGGGGGCCGGGCGTTGGTGGCGCATGCCTTTAATCCCAGCACTCGGGAGATCTCTGTGAGTTCGAGGCTAGCCTGGTCTACCAAGCGACTTCCAGGACAGCCTCCAGAACAATACAGAGAAACCTTGTCTCGAAAAACAAACAAACAAACAAACAAACAAACAAAAAAAAGAGTCTTCAGGGGGCCTAAAGAAAATGGATTCAAATACAGTCAGCTACCCAGACATAGTCTCAAGAATGGTGGGCCCTAGTCTTGGAGAGGAATGTGGTGGAGTCTCTTCCTGGGACTGTTCTTGCCCAGATCTAACTGGCGATTCAGCCTCTTCAGAACTCTGCCCTTCTATGAAGTGTCCAGTAAGCCTTTAGACTTTCCTGCTCTTCTAGACAAAGCCTGTTAGAAACATTTGCTCCCCTCCCAGACTGCCTCCCAATACTCCCCTTGCTCCCACCCCTCACTCATCTCATGCAGACCCTTCTGTAAGTCACCAAGCCAGGAAGATGCCCACCCCTCTACTCAGAGAGCCCCTACCTACTTAGGCCTCAGCATTAGGCACTACTCCCGCAACCCCGGCCTTTGATTATCTCCCCTCTATCAACCTTGCCTCCAGGGTAGGCTGATATAATAGACTCATGAGCATAGATAAGGACTTGTGAAATTTTTCAAAGAATCAAGTGAAAGTCCAGTTATCATTCAAGGTCCTTCTCCCCAGCCCTCCCAAGTTTCTTTGTGTCTTCCGGACTAGTGCTCCTCCATCCATGGTATGTATAACTTGAGTGTCTCACAGGCATGCTCTCCTGCCCAGTTCACCCTGTCCCTCTAGACCTCTCCTTGTCTGCTGTGGGAACTCCTCACCATCTTCAGACCTCAATGTGACTGGTTAGATAGCACCATGAATTTCTGGAACTCTCTAACCTCTTCATCTGGGGTGTTCTTTATTTTTTTTTTTTTTTTTGGTTTTTACGAGACAGGGTTTCTCTGTATTGTTTTGGAGGCTATCGGTCCAGCCCCACTCAAACTCACAGAGATCCGCCTGCCTCTGCCTCCCGAGTGCTGGGATTAAAGGCGTGAGCCACCACCGCCCGGCTGGGGTGTTCTTATGACAGTTTGATCAATAAGATATCTGGAATGACTTCATTCAAGTTCGAGTGAGGCCACTGTGCTGTAAAATTTGGCATGCAGCTAAGCCAGCCCTTGGCCTAACACTCACAGAATACAGATGGCCACAAGAAGAGGCTGGTGGGTCCAGCACAAGAAATGAGTCAAACCACAGAATATTGAGAAATACCAATACCAACTGTGGTTGACTGTCTGCATTAAACTCTCCACCTAACAGAAAGCAACTTCCCCAAGCTTCCTCTGCCATTCTACTCATGTCTTGTAATTTCATTTTCATTTTCCAGATGGTTTCTGTCTCCAAAGACATGTTGAGTTCTTTAAGGACTGGGGTTATCTCTGTCCCAAGCGTTCTCAGAAGCAGTGAGATAGACTCTTGACTACTTGCAAAATTCAGGGTACTTGGGACTGGGTGAAACTTTCCAAAGGATCAAGTTAAAACTGGGAGGAAAGGAGAAAGGTAGTAACTCGGTGGTATACCACATTATCTTCATATGCTCTATGTTCCAGCACTCATACTCTGATGTCATTTGTGTATTTTAAAAGTATATATATGAGCAGAGAGAGAGAGAGAGAGAGAGAGAGAGAGAGAGAGAGAGAGAGAGAGAGAGTATGCATGTGTACATGTATGTTCAGGGGCATGTGCAGACCAGAGAGGGACATCAGATATCCTCCTCCACCACTTTTCCCCTTAATTTTCAAGACAGGATCTTCCGCCATTAACTTGGAGCTGACCAGCAAGCCCCCAGTTACGCTTGTCTGTCTCCCCAGAGCTGGATTACAGGTGTACTGGCTTCCTACAAGGGTTCTAGGGATTAGAACTCCGGCCTTATGCTTACGTGGCAAATACTTTACCTACTGAGCTATCTCCCAAACCTCATGCAATGTATCCAACAAAGACTTAACAGAACCCTCATTGTGACAGTCCGAATTAAGATGGTTGTTCGTCCTATCTGCAGTCCCTCAAAGAATATACAGCAAGAGGTGAGCAGAGGGCTCAAAGAGTCTCCCAGAGGAGGCCACATGCAAGCCGGAGCTGAAAGAACAACCAGATAGTTGCATGGACTAAAGAAACGTGTGGCTACCGTCACCCTACCCCTGAAGAGGAGGAGTGATGGCCTGGATTGGTTAAATGCAAGAATACTAAGTCACCGTCATGGGGGTGGGGTAGGGGGTGGAAACCAGTGTGTAACAAAGGTTGTCCCAGTTTGGGAAGGAAGGCACAGGACAGAGTCTCCTCTCTCAAACACACAAGGTAAGATTGGATGGGGTGGGCTTCTTACTGAGAAGAAATCTATTTATTTGTGTGGGGTCAGGGGAGAGAGGGAGAGAGAGAGGGAGGGAGGAAGAGAGAGAAAGGGGGTGGAGGGAGAGAGGGGGAGAGAGAGAGGGGGAGAGGGGGGGGAGAGAGAGGGGAAGAGAAAGAGGGAGAGAGAGAGAGAGAGGGAGAGAGGGGGGAAGAGAGAGAGAGGCCAAAGGATAACTTGCAGGAGTTAGCTCTCTCCTACCATGTATGTCCTGGGGATCAAACTTTGATTGTCAGCCTTGGCAGCAGGGCCATCTACTGAACTACCAAATCCCAGGGTCATCCTTTTGGGGAATTAATTGTGCCCTCCTCTCACCCCACTCCCTTCTTAGAAGAAAACTTCATAGTCCATGCAGCTCCAAGTGGCTAGGTCTGGGTGCTGGGGAGAGGTCAGACACCGAGAGATAGCAAAAGTTACTTTACTTGTCATGTTTTCTGTCCAATTACTCCCCCAGGAGAACTCTGGGGTGCTGCTTGGGGACTAGATGGTGACCCTGACATTTGGTCAGGAAATAGCCAGAATAGTTCTTGGGAAGGAGGAAGTGTGGATTATGAGCAGAGAGGGCCATATTGCGAGTGTAAAGCAATAAGCAGTGAGCTGCAGACAGAGAACCAGAAGAAGGTTCAGTCACTCCCTCAGAGGATGGCAAGCCAGGCTCCAGGAGAGTCAAGGTTACTGGGGCACTTAACCTGTGGCAGACATCCATCTAAGTACTTAGTCACATCAATCCACAGCATGGGCTGCTGAGACAACCTGCCCAATCCCACACCCAAGAGACAGACGGTCCTCTTTCATGCAAGCACAGTAGCCATGGCACTGAAGAAGACAGATCGGTTGACCTGGACTCACCAGGAAGTGACCTGAAGGAGATGGTACTGGAGCTAAGTCCAAGCTGAGGCAGGAGCCGCGCCAGTGGAGACCAGGAGGAGAAGGGACTCCCGGCACCTGGAGGAGTAGTCTGAGAAAAGGGAAGTCCAGAAAAAGGGACCAAAGGGAAGATACTTGTCAAGTCAGAGCCAAGTCAGAGGTTATACGTGCTAGCACAGAGAGAGCCAGCTCCACCCTCAGAAAGGGCCTGCCCTTCCCCCTATTACATTGAAAGCTGGCTACACTCCAGCCTTTTCTGACTTAGCAGAGGAAATGCTCTCTTCTTTAAAAGCAGATTTACTGAAGCATTAAGACTGAGAACATTTTTCTTTCAAGAAGTGACTCTACACAAAGAGCTGAAAAACGTTAAAAAAAAAAAAAACGAGTTTGCTATGTATAGTCCATGCTTTCTCAGCCTCCTGAATGCGGGATTATGGGCGTGGCCACCCACCAAACCTGGTTTAGAGAAATACTTTTAAATTATGCTTTAAGATGAAAATAGTAGTAGTAGGTGCTTGTAACCTCAGGGATGAAGACAGGAAGATCAGAAGTTCAAAGTTAGCCTAAGCCAAATGAAACCTTGTCTCAAAAATAGTAAAATAACCCGGGCTTGCCAGTTCATGCTTAAATCCCAGATCTTCGTGAGCAAAGCCAGCTTTGTCTACATAGTGAGTTTCAGATCAGCCAGTCTCAAAAAATTAAAAGTAAACTAAAATATAGTAGTTTAGCATTTGTAAGGCACTTTACCATTTGCTAAGAGATGTCATTAGTGTTTACGAGGGAGGAAACTCAAACCTTGTGTTGTTCTTTTGTAAAAGTTTAAACATTAGAAAAAGGTGAAAGGCACGAGATGGGACCGGGACTGGAACAATGGAACACGAGCCACAGAGAGTATGAACCATAGTATATTTCAGCAGCGGGGAGACCGACACGAGGAGTGAGAAGAGGGTTGTAGAGAGAAGGGGTAAGAGAAGTAAGAGCATGGAGAGTGTAAGAGAGTGGAGAGGAAGGGGAGAAAGGAGAGAGGGGACAGCATAGAGAGAGTGGCCATGTGGAGGTGGTCACTTAAAAGAGGAAGCTTACACATGCGTACTGAGTCATTATGCAGCCCCATAGCGGTGATGCAATGACATGGCATGCCGTTGTGCCTATCTCGCTTGTCAGGGCGGTGGGGTCGGTTCCAACAATCTGACCTCTTATTTTTATTAAAAAGGTGGGCTGTTAGGCATGGCAAGCTAGGGAATAAGGATGTCAAGTTTTCAAGACTGCTTCCTGCTGACCTGGGGGAGTGTTGACAATCTTTGGGGGAACTGAGAAAGCTGGAATGTTGCCACATTGTAAGGTAGCTGTTTGCTCCATCGCAGTCCAGGCTGTATGAAACTCTCTGGCGCCTCTTAGACCTGGCAAGATGCTAGCAGAGTGGAAGACAAGGTTAAGTTTAGAAAAATTTTTTTCTTAGGTCCTGGTATTTGAGGGGAAGATTGTAAGAGGAAGGAAGGATTTTTGAGGGGATTTCAAGATGAGGGAAGGGAGTCCCAGGACCAGGGAGAGATTGAATAATATCTGGAGTGAATTTGACTTGTTTGGGTGGGTCCAATTCAGCTCCCTGAAACTTACAAGAATCCTTTGAATTTGTGAAAACATAAATTTTAGACACATTTAGCAGTATATTTATGTTAGAAGCGACTTGGCTGAAAGCATCAACATTTTTAAAACTGACAGGTAAAGGACAATGAAAAGTACCTTAATTTTGTCCTTGCAGTTATGATTGTAGAGTGGCATAGTTGTTTAGTACTCTGTTAGAGTTGGATTAGTACCTTATCAGAACTTTATTAATATTAAGACTATAACATAATGAAAGAGAGAAATCTGGAACATGTTTCATTCTTTGTAGTGTCTCAACTCACTTTATTTGTCATCACTTAGGCCTTTTTATCCTTAGACCTTCATAACTTTAATTCATACTCCTTAATTACCATCTTATATGGACAAACCTTAAAATACCTGTTCCTGAAATCTGTCCTGTGACAGTTAGGGCCTTGGCCGCTGCCCTAACCTGGCAAAGCTTCCAGCTGTCAAAAGCATCAGAGCTCCTGAGGTCAAAATTTTACCTGAGTTAATGATCAAAGAATAACAGAGACTAACCAGCTGGCTGCATGCACAGCCACCCGCAATGTCCTGCATAGTTACTGAAGTCTGGGGCTTCTAAGGACACCTGCCTTCTGATGACAGAGTGAGACCTGAGGATTAGGGTTTTTACGAAGACTTCCCTACTGTTGGCCCAAGCAACGTGGAGAAAAGCCGATTCCACTGTCCTCTTGTCCATGGTCTGAAGAGTCCTTTGCAGTCATTGAGGTGAAAAGCAGGGTTGGTCAGTGGCCACCGTTGTCACTTTTGCGGGTGGAGTTTCTTCAGTGCCCACCAGTCTTCTTGGAGGAAAAGGGGTGGAGCCAGCAGCTGGCCTGTCTCTGTTACAAAAAGCTTTGTAATAAAACATTTAAATGCTATGTTCTCTAGATCTCTGAGCATTTGAGGACTGTCTGCCTGTTTAGCATATCTTAGCAGACAAAATTTGTCTTTAGTGACTTGCCTTAGGCACATAGGTAGCTAGAGAAAATTCTCCTTTTGTAATAGAATCTTTACCTTTGTAAACAGTTTACAGAAAGGACTGGGTGCTATAAATATTTTGTTAATTTGAAATAGACCCTTGCCACTTTAAATGTTTACCATCATTTAAAGATATAACAATTTAAAAATATTTGAGACTTAGCATAGTTAAATTTAAATTGTATACAAAGTTACCTTACATTACTTAAGCAGTGACTACATATAGATACATTAAACAGGACTGGGTAAAAGGAAGAAGGAAGAACCAGAGTGTAGTTTCTGATTCCCACGTTGTAGCAAACAGACAGGAGATTTAAAGAGACAGAGTAGACTTAAACTGTCAGTGACAGGAGAGCAGGTCCCCTGCAGATAGAACAGGGGGCCCTGGAAAGACACAGTATTCCATAAACAAGCCACGTGCAACAGGGCCAGTGAAAGAAGAAATTAGAGGCAAAAAGGTGAAAAGAATTGCGTCTGTCAGCAGAAGCTGGCTAGACTGAGTGGGTGTGCCCACAACTAGGTCACATGGTCAAGATGGGGGCCGTAGGTCTGAGAAACGAATGTCACATCCAAAAAAGACCACCGTAGGTCTGAGAAACAGAAGTGGCAGTCTGCGCATCCAAAACAGGTCACCGTAGGTCTGAGAAATGGATGAAGCTGTGCTAGGGTACAAAACCCGAGGGACTCCACCGTGGGTCTGGGCACCAGTCAGTACAAAACCCGAAAACCTCAAACCTCATTCATGGAGGAAAAAATGAAAAACTCTCAGAGTGTCCCCAGCAGATGCTGGCCCAGGCTACCTCACTGTGAGTCAAAACTCTCAGAGAGTCCCGAGCAGGCCACTGTAAGCCCCTGGCATCTGCATGGAGAAGAAACATGGCAGAAAGGCAGCAGGGAGGTAGAAGCTTAGAAAAATAGCCGGGCGGTGGTGGCGCACGCCTTTAATCCCAACACTCGAGAGGCAGAGGCAGGCAGATCTCTGTGAGTTCGAGGCCGGGCTGGACCGACAGCCTCCAAAACAATACAGAGAAACCCTGTCTCATAAAAACCTAAAAAAAAAGAAAAGAAAAGTAGTAACTCCTTCCATTTACCTGTCCGCTGCTGGTACTCCCAGTTTGAAGTTATTTCCCATGGGTGTAGCCGAAGATGGCTCAGCCCAGCCTCAGAACTCGTCAGCCTGAGATCGCTGTCAAGGGCAGAAGGAGCCCAAAAAGCAAAGCGATAGGGTACAGAACTCCAAAAAGGGGGTGAAACCACTGAAGGCTTGAAGTCGAAAGACACAGCTAAGGGAATGCGGTGATGGACCTCATCCGTGGGAAATTTACTGACCAGGAGAAAGGGTGTCGTACCAGGTCACAGCAAACTGGTAGATGAGTGGGTTGTTGGCTTGAATTTTAGGGTCCCCGTGAGTTCCCGCTTGCCCGCCTGCGGGCAGCCAGAGAGGTCACGGAGAGAGCCTATCCAAGTCATGGAA